TCTCGGAAGCAACATCTACTAGAGAGACGCCTTTCCCATTTTTCCAAAGGACGAATATCCTCTAATTCTCTCATTTTTCGTACGATTGACTACGGCTTAAACCCACGATTAAATGCTATATCCTAGACGTAATTTTTATATTTTCAGTTAAATACAAATCCTCTATATATTAAAAAAAAAAAATTTTGAAACAAATTTGTTTAGATGTCAAATACACAATTTTCTCACTTTTTTATTAATAAAATTAACTAAAAATTAAATGCTCTTATACCATTGTCCAAACATCTTCTAAAAATACTTAATACCAACTTGAATACACTAATTCCAATTGTCAAACACATTAGAATACTTATAAATTTGTCTAAAACAATTATTCAAAGATTGTAGTATTAATTACTACCATTAAAATTAAACAAAAATAAATATATATTTCGGAAAAATATATTTTTAAAATCTTGATTTAGTTTTATAACCAATTAATTAAATCCAAATTTCTATTTTAAAAATTATATTATTATTTTTATAATTACTCTAGACTTATAGACTCAATTTATATATTTTTTTATTAATAAATGATATATATTAACCGAGAAATTAAAATTATTATTTTTAATTATTTAATGAGTGGAACATTTTCTATACAAAATAATTGTAATATATATATATATAAAAGTTTTGGATTCCCTATAATAATTTTCTTAATAACTAAGTAATTTGCAAAATTTGCTCTGATTCTAATTTTCAAACACATTAGAATACTTATAAATTAGGAACATAATTAGGAGAGTAAGCTTGCCTAAAAATTAGCTTAATATTATAACTTATAAGCTTGCCTAAAAAAAATATTCAAAGATTTCAATATTAATTCTTACCATTAAAATTAAACAAAAATAAATATCTATTTTTAAACAAAAATAAATATATTTTTAAATCTTGATTTAGTTTTATGACCAATTAGTTAAATCCAAATTTTTATTTTAAAAACTATATTATCACTCTTATAATTACCCTAAACCCATGTTTAATTTATATATATTTTTATTAACGAGTGATAGGAATAAGGGTAGTCTCGTAAATATGTGTGGCCGACTATACACAAGTCATTTTCTATTCCTTAGAAACAGAGAGGCCACTTTAGAAAGAGTCTATTTAACATTATATAAGACGTTGGCCTCTCTCTCTTTCTTTCTTAAACGCATACCATCTTGATCTATATGATGCAGCCAACGATGGGACAAAAACATGCCGTTGAATCTAGAGGCGAAGGCGGAGGAGGAGAGATCGTTTTGGGGCCGTCGCCTTTCGATATCTTGCCGGAGGATTGCATTTCTAACATCATCTCTTTTACAAGTCCACGAGACGCGTGCGTCGCGGCTTTGGTTTCGAAATCCTTTGAATCTGCGGTCAAATCCGATAGCGTGTGGGAGAAGTTCCTACCGCTAGAGTATGCATCTCTGATTCCGCAATCGCGAGTTTTCTTGTCGAAGAAGGAACTCTATTTCGCTCTGTGCGATAATCCTGTTCTAATCGAAGAAGGCAAAAAGGTACAATGCATGCTTGTCTGTACGATTGGAGAAAATAGTGATCTTCCTTGAAATTAGTGCATAGAATCATCGAGTTTTATATGAGAATTAGAGGAACAAGGATGTGATTTAGTCTTATTTAAGAAAATTCGTTAATTCGTTGAACTTTGGATTAACTCTTAAAGCATAACATAAGGAAGCAGAATTGAGCCGAATAGGTTTTTTCATTAATTGTGTGAATGAATGAATAATTACAAACCCTAGAAACTTCCCAAAGGAAATATGAAAATAGGAGATACTAATTACTTTTGAGTAATTCTTCGTGTAAGATTCATCGAGTTCTATTACATAATTGTGGGAACAAGGATGTGATTCAAACTGATTTCAGAAAAGGAAAAATTTTGTGAAGTTTTAATTGAATATTTATGATTAATTTTTTTTTCCCTTTTTCCGAAAATGAAAGAGCTTTTGGTTAGAGAAAGCTAGTGGGAAAAAGTGTATCATGTTATCTTCAAAAGAAGTCTGGATCACATGGGGAAGTAGTCCTCAATATTGGCGATGGATTACAATTCCTGAATCTAGGTAACTCTTTTTTTTCACTCTTTAGAATCGATTAGAATCACTCATTCTTATGATGTGATAGATAATAATGGGAAAAACAAATGTTGCAATGTAGGTTTGAAAAAATAGCAGAGCTTCTCAATGTATGTTGGTTTGAGATTCGTGTTGGGATGCATACTCGTTACCTATCTCCTAAAACTCATTACTCGGTCTACATTGTGTTCAAGACGAAAGATCGGTGTCCTGGATTAGGGGATATACCAGTAGAAGTTGGGGTTGGATTGATTGGACAACCATCTACTCAAAGATTGATATACTTTGTTGGTCCTATGGATCGAAGAAGAGAAAGAGAAACGAGAGATGTAACGAAACCAAAGGCGAGACAAGACGGATGGATGGAAGCTGAGCTTGGTGAATTCTATAATGAAGCATGTGTTGATGATACTTCGGTAAGTGTTGTTGAGATTAAGTCTCCTTATTGGAAACGTGGTTTGATCATTCAAGGATTCGAATTCCGCCCTACTAAAACCCCGTAAAGTATTTATTTTACCCGAAAAAACGGTTAATTTCGGTTTGATGATTACTTGTTTGCTTCAATTTCATGTCTCTAAGCGAAGTGAAAATGCTTTGTTGTATTGTAACCCAAATCTTTGTAATGTTTTGTGAATTCTTGTTGTTTCATTAAACAATTCAATAAAGCAATTGTGTTTTTTTCTTTCTTCTTTCTATGATCATCTACAATGCTTTTGTACACTTTACTTAGCCAAGAACCATTAGAGATAAATTTATGTATATGATCAGGTCTTAGTAAAAAGATTCTGAATTATTGACTTTTGGAATAAATTCTATTTAATTATTATATCTCTTGTAACAAAAGACTTCATAGGTAAGTTAAACATGAAACAACTTTGCTTTGGCTGATTAGATAAAGGCAAATAAACTTTTTTAAGTATATTTTTGAGAACTTTTGAGGTTCTTCTTTCAAGGGTATTTTGGGAAATTCACTATAAATCTTAACCTGTAAGTCTCACCGAATCACACGACACGGGGTCCTCCTATAAATATCCAATTCGTTACCAAACGCTCACACACCGTTTCATTACTTAAACGCATCAGATTCGCTAAAATTCGCAAAATCTATGGACCAAATTCAAATTGGAGATTCGAATTCCGGCGTCGGAAGTAGCCGGAACGATGAGAGCGTTGTGATCGGACGATTCGATACTTTGCCGGAAGATTGTATTTCGATGGTGATTTCACGTACGAGCCCACGCGATGCTTGTGTTGTGTCTTCGGTTTCGAAAACTGTTAAATCTGCGGCTCAATCGGATTTGGTTTGGGAGATGTTTCTTCCGCCGGAATATTCTTCTCTTGTTCGGAATTCGATTAATAATTACTCGTCGAAAAAAGAGATTTATATGTCTCTCGCTGATGATTCCGTTTTGATCGATGAAGGGAAAAAGGTAATTGCGTTTTAATTGATGAAATCGATTTCGATTCATGAAATGTGTAAATTAGGGTTTTGATTTTACCCAATTTGATGTTCTGATTCATGATTTTTGTTTGGGAAATTAGAGTTTTTGGTTGGAGAAATCTAGTGGGAACAAGTGTTACATGTTATCAGCAATGGCTTTAACGATTGTATGGGGAGATTCTCCTGCTTATTGGGAATGGATTTCACTTCCTGAATCTAAGTAAGTTCTCATTTTGGACTCACTTATATTTCTTGTGAAATTGGAGTTTATATTGATGTTCTTTATATGTGGAATTATAGGTTTGAGAAAGTAGCAGAGCTACGTAATGTGTGTTGGTTCGAGATTCGTGGAAAGATAAGTTGCGAAATGCTATCAAAGGGTACACATTACTCGGTTTACGCAGTGTTCAAGAGAGCGAGTACTAGATCACATGGGTTCGACCACACGCCTGTGGAAGCTGTAGTTGGGTTTGTGGGTAAAGAAGAAGCTACGAAAAAAATCGTGTTTCTTGAATCTGGTGGTACGGATACACGAAGCGGGTATGGTTACTCGGGGATTTCGCACGGAGCGGTGACTAGAGCGTTTAGGATGAGGCGTCCGTGGATTCGGGGTCCGAGAGAAGAAGTTGAAGGAGAGAGAGAGATTGGTGGTAGGAATGTGGAGGAGCCAAAGGA